GGCCCTGCCTGAGTGAGAGTTTATTGTGATTGAATTTGAGTTTTTATTAGATATTTTAATACATAAAATTTCATGATTTTTTATTTTATTTGAAACAATTTTTAAATCATTAAAACTTTTAAGTGGGTTTCTCAAGTATTTTTAGTTTGTTCTTTTTTACATGGGTATAAAAAAAAATAGGTGGGTATTTTTGGGCTGGGGAAAATTTAGCCAACCCTGAACAGACTTCAAATTTAATATAGAAATCATCCTGTCAATTCCATCCTGCTATTGAATTCTCAAATGTGAAGATGTGATTCAGTCATTTAATCATAAATATATCTCAACAAGTCATATTCTTTTAATTAAAATAACAAACATTGGTTTGGGTGACTAAATGTTTTCCCTCATTAAAATTGTGATCACCAGGGCTTGGATTCTGATGACATGTCTCCTTTTCTAGATATAGCTAACTTGAAAATGAATGTTTATCACAACATGTAGGTGATAGAAATGTATAGCCATTGGCCATAGAGTAGTACTGCAAATTGCCTTTCACGTAAGTGAAGGTTTTGTTAAGGCTAGGGCTTATGGGGAAAAATATGTACCTAAATTGAATATTAAACATTATTGTGTCATTTTTTGCCATTTTTCGATCATTTTTTGGGCCTTGACCCTTGCCATTTTTGTCATTTTGTTTCCTTTTTATGTTTTTGTTAGTGAATATTTCATGAATATACAATGACAAAATTTTTATTGTCTCATCAATTCATGATGAAATTCACTGCGGCAGTGGACTCTCTTTTTCAAACTCTCAAAAATACACGGATCATTGGTAACTTCCTCAACCTATCAAAACTTATGGTTAGAAGATTGATGCTGAGAATTACATTTTCTCCTAAAATAAAGACTTTATATTAAATAAATTTATTTAAAATTGTGAAAGATATTGAAGAAATAGACAATTTTATACAAATTTTTTAGAATATTTTTAAAAATTAGGTAATTATGCCCTTATTTTAAGACATTAGAATCTGAGCCCTTGTAATCATTCTCTCAGAAATTGTTCAAAACTGCAAATTGCCCTTCATGTAAGCGCAGGCTTTATTTAAGGACTTATACGGAATAATATGTACCTAAATTGTACATCAACCATTGTTCTGTTGGTAAACATTGTGTTCCAGAATCCTTTTCTGATTATTAACTATTAGCAAAGTCGTTTTTTATGTCCAAATATGAAACTGCTCATTTAAATCTTAAAATTAATTTGTATTATCTAAAATGCCACTCAATGTCAGCAATAGTAATGGTTCTATCTTGAAACTTGTAATGCATTTTGTAGTTACTGCAGATCTTATTCCAAAACCAATTCACTACTTTAAATGGCAGTAAAAGTTAAAAATAATTTTTCTAGTATAATTTTGAAACATTAAAATATGGAAAATAATGCATGTAAATGTTAAAATGTGCAAAGATAACGCATGTTTTCCTTAAATTTGTACTAAAGATGGATAACTGGAAAATATGATTTCAAATGGGTGGTAAATCACTTCAGAAAACCTGATTTGTAAATATGTTTTTCATTATACCTAACGAGCCATCAAATATGCCTAGCCCTGTACATAACCTTATTCACAGCATGTAAGCACATTAGTAAATCACTATCTAGATAGTACTCATCATTCTATAGACTAACGAAGTATCATTTTTTTTATTAATCCAATATAAGTTCAAAAGACAAAGTTGTTTTCATTGATTTGGATTATTGATTTTGTACATCTTAAATCAACAGTTATAATAACAGTCACATAGAAAATAATAATACATTCCTAATCAAAGTTATGTTTGTGAATAAAATGTTCTAGGAATCTTCTTGATTGTGATGTATTTTCAAAATCAGATCCCATGTGTGTAACATATATGAAAACTCTTGATATAGGAGATTGGCATGAAATTAGTCGCACTGAGACAATCAGTAACAATTTAAATCCTGATTTTGTGAAAAAGGTAATTGTAACATGAATTACTGATAAATACTTATGTTCTACCTATTTTTTTGTATTTTCTTTACAAGTATATTGGCCCATAATTTACAGGTTAATTTAGAATATCGTTTTGAGGAACAACAGTGGCTCAGGTTTGCTGTGTACGATGTTGATACACCAAACCCAAATTTAGATGAACAGGATTTTCTAGGGTATTGTGAATGCACTTTGGGGCAGGTAATAGCTGATCAATAAACTTTAAATGTAATAAGTAATGTTATTGTAAGTACGTAACATGTTCTCTAAAGCAAATATATTTAACTTGCAGGTAGTGTCTTCGGGAAAGCTTGTTTTACCATTACAAGGAACATCTTACAATAGAGGAGAACTTATTGTAAGAGTAGAAGAATTGGCACAGTGCAGAGATGAAGTTACTCTCCAGTTTTGTGGGCGAGAACTTGATCGCAAAGACTGGTTTGGCTTGTATGTCAACTGGATTATTTTTTGAGATTATGCTTACACTTCTTTGATATGAATACTTTGCTGAACCATAAATATTTTCAGTATCATTACCAATCTTAAATTTAGAATGATGATGATTGATATGATTATTGTCAACATGGTTTACTATTAATATTCAGTAAAACTTGTTAGACAATTTTCAGGATCTTAAAAAATGGTGTTAGTCACTGGAAAATGTAAATGGTGGCAAAGTATTTTTGCTTATATATTAAATGACATTAATATTTCACTTCTATTAATAACTGATCATTAATATGAAATAGTTGTACCTTTGACTTCAAAATACTTCTGTTGGCTAAATGTTTTTTCTAGAATACATGGGATTATTGTTTGAGAAGAGCATTAGCACCGCCTACAGGGGGTTGTTCTAAAAAAAAAAAAAAAAAACTGATGTAGGTATTTTTATGCAATGACAAGTTGGAAGTTTCATTAGTACACCCACGGTAATGCAGTTATATTTGATGTATTACACACACAATTGTTTAACACTTTCATGGAAGATGAGAAACTGGCATCTTTGACATTTGCAGATCATTATAGAATTATGGACTTTCTGCCTTATACTAACTTGTTTAATAGTGAAACTGGAAGTAAAATGCACATTAAGCATTAATGTAGACATTATCACCAGGGAACATTGGCATTACATGAAATCTCCATGTAGTCAAACCTCAACAACCTTAAATTAAAATTGATAACATCTATCCTACAATGATATGATCTACATGATCACAAACAGTCAAGACTTTCGAGCGATATGTAGGAAGCAACATACTTACAAGACCCACATCCATAAATTACCTCTTTGTTATCTCATACAAAAACAAATTGTGGGAATTTTATTTTAATTTCAAAAGTGTAAAAGTGAGGAAAATTGAAGGGAATGGGTAAAAACTGTGTGAATGATAAGAAAATGTAAAAGTTAGGTTTAATTTGTCCAGTAATAACATGACAGTCTCTTAGATTTTCTTTTTTGTTTATTTTAAGATCGGATCCATTTTTAGAATTCCATAAAGTCAATGAAAGTGGAGAATATGTTTTGGCACATCGAACTGAAGTAATTAAATGGACCTTGAACCCAACATGGAAACCATTTATCATCCCTGTAAGATCACTTTGTGGAGGCGATATGGAACGGTCGATAAAAATAATGTGCTATGACTGGAACCGTAGTGGAAGCCATAGCTTCATTGGTGAATTTTTTGTTACACTTAACGAGCTGAGCGTTGGTCCAGGGCAAGACACTGTTTTTCAGTGCATTAATCCTAATAAAAAGGTAACACAAGAAGGCATGTTAGATCGAAAGTGATTGTATTTGATGCTTTGTTGTGCCTTTAATATCCAAATCCTATTTTTGCAGCGAAAAAAAGCATCATACAAACATTCTGGAGAAATCATTTTACTAAAATATGATTATAAAAAGGTTTATTCTTTTCTTGATTATATTAGAGGTGGAACTCAGCTTCATTGTACTATAGCTATTGATTTTACTGGTAAGTTATCGAATGCATCTAATATTTTTATCAAGGCTTTACTTGCATTCATTTTATTTGTCTGTGAAATTTGGTTTTAAAAATATTGTTTCAAACTATTTGCTACTTTTTTGCTAGTGTCTGTTTTCCTTTTGTAATTGAAAGTTGATGAATTCATGTAAAGTGGCATTTAATTTTAAAAAATATTAGCAAAAGGTTCATTTAATACATATATTTCATTTTATATCTTTTGTTCTTTATTGCATACTTTTACTAATTTACTGTATATATGACCAATGACCTCTTCAACTCATATAAAGAGAATTCTATTCTTTTTAGGATCCAATGGAGATCCTCAGGCCCCTGATTCATTGCATTACTTTGGTTCTCCTATACCTAATCAGTATGAACAAGCGCTCACTGCAGTGGGAGAAATTATACAAGATTATGATTCAGATAAGATGTTTCCTGTACTTGGATTTGGTGCTCGCTTGCCCCCTGATGGACATGTTTCTCATGAGTTTTTTGTAAACATGAATCCCAACAATCCTTACTGTGTTGGTGTAACAGGTATATATACAACATTTATTGTGTAAAATAAGAATTATTGGTAATTACCTTACATTGAAATGTTAAAATTTTAGGATACTATTCTAATTGGTTGCAAAACAGAACAGAAAATATTACTTTTGAAGTTTTATGAATTCAGAGATGTGAAAAAATTGAATTATACATTGTATTTTTAGGTGTGATAGAAGCTTATAAGAGTTGCATCCGGCAAATACAACTTTATGGGCCTACAAATTTCAGTCCTGTAATTAATCATGTGGCAAAATTTGCTAAGACCTATCAAGATGGTTCGCAATATTTTATCCTTTTGATTATTACAGATGGTGTCATTACTGATATGATACGAACTAAACAGGTACTCTTTTGAAAAATTGGATTTACTCCATTGTCTATTTTATTGAATCCACTGGAAATTAATATTAATTTTGTTTGTAGGCCATCATTCAAGCTTCATCTCTTCCAATGTCCATAATTATTGTAGGTGTGGGAAACGCTGACTTTTCTGCTATGGACGAACTAGATGCTGATACTGTTCCTCTTGTTCATAATGGCATTCAAGCTGTTCGAGATATTGTTCAGTTTGTTCCTTTCCGCAACTTTCAAAGCCTAAATAATGTTAGTAAGGCTAAAGCTTACTTAGCCAAGGAAGTACTTGCTGAAATTCCTGAACAAATAGTGTCATTTATGAAAAGTCATAGTGTTGTACCAAAAAACCTGAATGGAATGGGAGATGGACCTAACATGTAGCACAGAGTCTCTTTCTGGAATTCCTCAATTATCTCTCTTGTTATTGCATAAAAAAAAGCAAACAGAAAACAGATGAGCTTATTGCTCTTGTTCATACACACATAGATCATTCTCCTGCTGTATGGAGAATTTCTGGTGCTCGAAAAATCTTGCTTTTTTCTGTATTCAGCAATATAAAAAAAGAAAAAAGCATGATTAAAATTTATACAAATGTTAAGGCTGAATTCCTATTAAAAATGCTCTGATGATGCAGTGCAGGAAATTTTCATGCAAGGTGTGAATTTTCTAAAACTGTCCACGACTCATGTTCTTCACATTTATATTTGACTAAATAAGGTTCACAAATTAATTACATGCAACATAATGTAGTAATGAACCAGTCAACGAGATAATGAGTGATATTTAATGGTATATATATTTAAAAAGAACATAAATTAGATGTTCAGAATTTATTTAAATGAGGTCTGCATGAATGGTTGCAGCATATTGATATGGGTGATAGGTAAATTAAACAGGAAGCATTAACTTATAGTGACTGCTTCCTTCTACAAAAGTTCCATGCTAGTTTACTGTATGTCATTAAAAACTTCTAAAAGTTTGTGAGTGGTTGTATTAACTTACAATAGGTGAAATCTTGAATTGGTGAATTAATAATATTGAAGTATGTAAATTATGATTCAAATTGTTTGTATGAATTGTTTTTTTGCTAACAGGTAGCTAAAACTTTGTTGGATCATAAGAAAAATCCCAATAACACATTTTGCTTTGCAATTGTAATTTATGCAGGCCTAATTTAAATATCCTCAAGAAATATGTATTATTTGACATGAATTCAGAGGCAGCACATGTTGAAAATATTGGATGTAATTAGTAACGCAGCTCTTTAACATATTTTTGCCCATCTGTAAACTAATATTGGAAAGCCTCCTTCCAAATGTTTGACAGTGACGTGCGTGTAAAAGTTCAAAGCAAAGTTTGACATCACAAGCCTGTATTAAGGGGAAAAATTAGGTTTTTTATTCAATATTGGATTTTTTTAAATAAATAAACTGCTTTCATTTCTGGTTTGGTAGAATAATCATTCAAATGACAATTATAGATACAAATTTTAAATACCAATAATTAAGGTCCAATGAAATTATCTTCAAATTTTCAATGAAGAACTTTTGAGTAGTTGCACATGCCTGATCCACTCGAGGCTTAATAAACAAGAGACAAATGAATCATTGAATATAAAATGTTTTTATTGGTTTTATAAAATTGACTTGATACTCTTCTTGAAAACGTTACAATAGCATACAATATAATATGTTTCTGAAAAGTAGGGTATTGGGAAAAAAGGATTCTCTTCTCATATTACTGCACCTCCAAAGTAAAGGAAAGCAACTTTTTTTTTGCAATTAACAAAACTAGCTCGAGCTCTTTGCATCTTTCACATGTTCGAATGCAGCTGTGCCAATTACCTTAAGCCAATTATATAAAATAGAGCCTGTTTATTTTTATGGATGAGTGTTCAATCCATCACAGAGAGATTTTAGAGGATGCTTTGCTTTATAGAAACAACTTGTCTGTAATTTATATAATTATAAGTAATTTATAATCAAAACTAGAGATATTTTGATTTTAGTCAACCATAAAAAAGTGGTACTTAATTTATTTTTTTATAAAACATATTTTTAATATCTGTGCAATGAGTTTCTTCCCCTTTGTGCTCCACAAGTATAAAGCTGAAGGTTGAAGAAGAGTTCTTATAAGACTGAAACTGGAAATACTAAGTTAGTGTAGTTGCTTTGAATTGTTTGCTGACAAATATAATAAGTAGTATTTGGTTATGAATAAGAAAATCTATATTATGTTAATAATAATAATAATATATTCATGTTACATAAAATTATGAATGAGGAAAGGAAAATCCAAAGAGCTGCATCAAACAAGTCAGCAAATTACATGTGTTTTAAGTTGTACACATCTTTTGAGACATTGATTTGAAGTTGCTGTTATAAGTACATGCCAATTTATGTTGTTGTTTTTTTTAATAGTACAATTTGTAGTTTTACATTTTAATAAGTGTTATTAATTATTTGAGAAGAAATTTTAATTAGAATTAACATTAACTATTTTATACATCACAAGTGAGGCAAATTGACTTTGAAAGTTTTCTTGACAATGTTTTGGCTCTTATGTGAATTGAATAAGTCATGACTTATTGATATGAAGGAAATATTTTGAAAAAATACATGTTAACTAAAAACAATTGATGTAAATCTTATATAGGAAATACATTTCATTGAATATAGGTAATGCATTTAATGAAGGGTAAAAGTGCCAAACTTGAGGAATTGAATTCAGTGCAGTATTGAAAGTAGTCAATTAATGTTCCTAAAAAGGAAAAGGAAGGAGAAAGGAAACAGATGGGATTATAAATTTTCATAAATTATTAAACTGAATATTTTCTTGAGTAATGCAAGTCTTTCACATGTGTGCTGCACAAATTTTTGGAACAAAATTACATTCACATTCACTGGTAAGGAATTCAATCCTTGCATTGCATGCAATTGTTATTTTGTTTCATAACCTTATTATGTTCAATGGTGCTAGTATGGAGCTATTGAAGCCATGAATTAATTTAAAAAGCTTTCCATTTTATACATTGTTCTTGGAATGCATTGGAAACATTCCTCACGAAATATACTTGTCCTAATACTGTCTAAACTACTAAAAACAAATTCCAATTTTGTCCTCTGACATTGTGTTCATTTTTCTAAAACTTATAGGTAGTCGATACAAACATACTATATTTTATATACAATTCTGCTTTCTGCTGTAGGTGTTCAGAATATTAATGTAAAAGTTTATCATAAATTTTCAACATTCTCTGAAAATATGATTCTTTTCATTTAAAATTATCAGATTGCTTTTCTCTATTAATACAATGACAATTACTTGTTGCATGTTTCTTACATATTATGCACATTCACCAAGGTTTAACTGAGTGTCCACTTTCACGAGTGTTGAAAAAAAAAAAGTACAAAAGAAAATTTCTGCAATTGTATTCAAGATATCTGCATTAGAGATGTACTTATCTGGATGCCAAATGTTAAGCAACTTAGTAAAATATATTTGTTTTTGACCAATATTCTGTTATGTTATTAGGAATTTAATGACAAAGATTTAAAATAATTTGCAGGCTCTAAACAGCGTGTGTTTGAACCGATTTGAATTTGTTTTATTTTGTATGTGTGTGTAAATTTAGAACTGCAAACTTGAATATAGTTTGGTAATCCAGATAATTAATACTCTATTGTTCATCGGTCATATTTTTTCATTTCTAAAATTTTATGTGTTGTTATTGTATATTAGTAACAGTCTATATTTGTTGATGAAATAAACTCAGGTACCTATTATACAAAAATTGATCTTGAGTTTAATGGCACTACCTTCCAATCCCATTCAAGGTGAGTATTAGTTATATAACAATACAAGACTGAATGAGAATTGTAATATATTTGAGTTGTATGAATGTTAAGAAAATTTGTATTTATCCACATTCTATCAGAGGTCATAAAAAGCTCACAAGAAATGGCTGGAATATATTTAAAAGAATGATAGAACAAAGACAGGCTGCTCTACTACAGCAGTGATATGCAGGAACTTATCTCAGGCCTTTCATCTGCAGTACGTAATGATGGGTAGACTATTTCCATCCCCACCTGTCAAAGAGGCGCTATTTACAGCAATAATGTGACTTACTAATTGCAAAATAATGTTTTTATTAATACATATTTGGAATAACATTAAGAATGTACAAGTATATGAAAGATTCTCCTTATATTTCTAATTAATAAAAGCGCAATTTTTTTGGTGGAAGAGTTCGTAAAGTATAAAGTATGTCAATAACTTGAATAAGTTAAACAACTAGACATTTATCAAGAAGCTTTGGTTCATTTGTATTGTGAAACGTACATTGGTAACGAATGAACTGTTCAAACGGCGTGAAATAAGTTAGTAATGTTATCAAATATTTTAGTTATAGTACCTACAAGGCAATATCCTTTATCCTGACGCTTCTTTACTTTCGACATTTGATAAAAGCGTAGGCCTACTTACAATATTTTAGTACCTCAATGGAAAATGCTTATCACAGCGACAATATATCGAACGAAAATGCACTTAATATTGCCCCGAAATCGGATTGGTAGCTGGCGAAACGCCGGCATAACAAACTTCCTTGAGTTGCTAACTTTAGAACCCACACTTTAGCTTTTGGCTGAGATTAAAAATCGTTTTCTCAGAGAACCCAAATACGCGACGTACATTCCGATAAATATTGTGTAAGTGCGTAGTTTTGTGCGTCCAGGCGAAATACTATTCAGCATATATGCTCATTGTGAAATAGTGCATCGATTAATTATATGTATAACATGATTAAGTAATTTATTAGTATTAATAGGCTAGGTATATTAGGACTTTGCCTACAAGCGCGAAACATCTTCAACATTTTGTTTTACAGTAGCCTAAATCAAACATTATTCTACCTTATGATGGCACAATTAGATTCCACCACAGCATCAGAATTTGTCACAGAAGTCGAAATCACCCTTTCGTGCAGGTAGGCTAAGAGAACACGATTGAGCATTGTAGCATTGTCATCCCCCAAAAGGGCATTAATGTTTTATGTTGAAATTCGTCGGATGGCATATTCGTATTATTTATTTTGGATTCGCATGCTTTAGCTAAACTGAGAAACACTGTAACAGTATATTTGCGAGTTAACATTACATGTAACCAGTATTCACTAACAAACGTAGATGCTGCGCCTCATTTTGCCTATAAGAACTGGTGTGTATTTGCGTTGCTTTCGCGCTCGCTATTAATAGATAGAGAACGATATTTCAATGACGTAAATGAACAAAGGATGCCATACGACATGCGTCACTATGAAACTCATAGAATTGCCTCATGGATCTGACTGGAAGCATATTTAGTCCATTAAACAGAAAAATTGAGCAAAAAATTTACAAAAGCACAATGTTCAGGTTACACGTTTGACTTCCAGATCAGTTTAATTGTACCTCCTATTTTGCAGCTTCGAGCCCAACTTCAGTCGGTCTATTTTTGCTTGATTTTATTTTAGAATAATTGTTAAGATTCATAGTTTACAGGACTTCCATTAAAGGGTTAATAATGCATATTCCACCATACTATTCGTGCAACTGAAATAATAATTACTATATTTCAACAGATACTGAGTTTTGTTCATAGTGCTTCCAAATTACGATTATTTTCGTTTTTAATTGAATGCAAATTGTCATTATCAATATATAAAATAAATAATGGTTTGTTGGACTTGGACTATTTGGTGAGAAATTGGAATGAAAAGATACTGTTTAAGATTAAGTTATGCAATTTTTGTCTACAAATGTTTAGGGTATTCCAGCAAAGTATATTTTTTCAAAATGTATTTTGTATTCTGTAAATGTGTACTAGACCTATTTGTTGTACCAACAGGTACAGATAATGAAATCACACAGGTAACTGTAAATACACTCAGCCATGTTATCAAAACAGAGGTTGGGGACATGTGCCCCCTTCACTAAACCTAGTAATGCTTTTAATTACAAACATTTAATTATATTTAATTAAAGTTGCATAGACTATTCAAATGTACAGGCAATATTATGTATTTATTTTAAATTTATAATTTTAATTGTATAGAATTATATTTTAACTTATAAAATCATTAATTGTCATGAAAATTATTTAATGCAAAAAATCTTTGGGGTTTGTAAACTTCACAATCATACTATTATAAGCTGATCTCCACTTATGTACTTTCTCAATCAATGCCTGAACAAGATGACAGAAATGGAAAACTATGGTGGTGCTATTCATCACATACTTTCTCACAATATTTGCAAATTTTACAACAGTTATTGAAAATTCTGAGAGTTTTAAAAAAAGGTACTTGTGCCATATTTCTTTCTCGTATATGTACGTGTAAACGAAGTATTATATGTAGTATAGAAAAAGTCATGTAATGCTGCGGAAAATCGATATCGAGATTTCAACGCAAATTCACGTTTTGGGGTCCCCTGATACCGAACAAATTTGTCGTTTTTTTTATGCAATATGTCCGTCTGTCTGTCGTTCGCCTGTCCTAGCGTATAAACCGTAAGATTTTTTCCAAATGGATATTCCCTTATCAATCTGACTCGACTCAAAGCGCTACGATTTTGAAAAACATTCATTAATTTTTGGGGACACTTTATATGAAACCTCTGTGACATTTTCAAAATTTCTCAAAAATGGCTCCAAATTTCTCTTTAATTTTTTGAAAAATAGATTAAAATACACTTTATTTTATAAAACATTTATCAGATACAACGTATTTATAATGTCCCATTTCACTATTAACTCTAAATTTCAAAAATTGCAAAAAACTGATTTTTTTTCGATGTCTTCCCACAACTACAAAATTCAAGATAGAGATTTTTCCTTCAAATGTAATATGATGTTCATAATTAATTATTTCATTAAAGTCATGTATATTATTTTCGAAACTATTAGTACTTTCGCGCAATTTAAAAAAAAACAAAAACAAGATTTTCTCGAAAAAGGCACGATTTTTTTTTAGTTTTCTCCACTTACGTATCAAGGAACGGTAAAAAATATGGCGGTAGTCCCATTTTCAGCGAACTTATCGTATTTTCCAAAACTGCAAAAAGTTAACATTTCAAAACTAGTAAATTGGTGATAGAGACGTTTGCCCTAAACGAAATTGATGTAAAAATCTTTTGAAAACGTCATGAACAATTTTTTAAACAAACGGTAGTTTTCGCCAAATTTGTAGCGAAAACTACCCGTTGTTTACCTGTTGTTCGACGTAATTGGCCAAATAGAAAATAAATGAAACAAAATAATATGGGGTTGGCTTAATTGTATTCGAAAATTTAATTTGAATTTCCTATATTTAGTTTCAAGATTCGTACAGGCTTATAGGATCTTTGGACCACGTGGGCGAGATTGCACAAACCATTTTTGTCTATTGAAATGCTGGGTGAAGATAAAGAGTAATATGACACATAAAATTGTTTAAAACAACCAAGGTTATTGCTAAAAACTGTAATTTACCAAAGGGCTGTTTTACAATCGGAAACAAATGGAAGGCGAATTCATAAACGAATATGTCAAGGCGCTACTCATTGCCAAAATTGCCAAAATTGTAAATTTCACAAACTGTTCGACTATTTCATCTGTGACAATATCGTTAACGGCATCCGAGATAAGCAAACGCATAAGACACAGAATTATCGCAGCGATTTATATTGGAATTGAACATACCGACTTTGGAACAATCAGGCAGATCCAAAATTCGCCGTTTTCCGGCGCACAATTTCTATACTTTCTCTTCTTACAAAGTTAGTGAGAAAGTAAAAATAATTCTTTGAATTATGGAGGACTTTACATAAAGCTTATGAAACTTCGCCACAGAAAGCAACTACTCCGACTGTGCTTGAGAATTATGTAAGTTCGTAAAAAGTAAGTTCTGGATACGTGATAGGGAACGTTGAATCTGTTTCCACTCACTCCGGACTGCACACAGTCTTCCCCAATAATGCAAACATTTGGTGGCATAGGAATCGGATAACATCAGGAACAGGGCTCATGGCTGAAGTGAGATTAGGGTTTTGAATGACACGCTTGGATTTTGCAGAAAAACGTTGTACAAACAGAAATAGCATTCGGAGATGGATTGTCTTGAATCACACCATGCCATAATAATAATAATAATAATAATAATAATAATAATAATAATAATAATAATAATATGCATTTATTAATATGGCGAGGCTCGGGCCATCAGGCCCGCTCTTCCGCCTGACCACATGTCACAAATATACAGAGTAATGTATTAAATTACAAAAAAGTAATGTTATTTTAAATTTAAATTTAATGTAATCTACAAGTTGTAAGTAGTTAGTGGAAAGCAAACGTTATATGCCATTACAACTGCAAATGGCATGATGAACGTGAATATTGATTCTACCTTCTTGTTATAATTCAATTTGTATGCTGTTGAAAAAAAATTGAAATAACAGTCGTACATTTTACGACACTCAAAGTTATCTTCCTTTGCATCTACAGACCTTCAACAAAGCGAACTTTAGATTATATCATTTTCTTACAATATCAAGAGAAAACACTGAACAAAATTAATAATCGCTCTCTTAAATCCATTTTTGTATGTGGATATTTCAATACTGATTTTCTGAGTGAATCTCACGAAAAAGAGCAGTTTTTGAATTTACTTCATTCTTTTAATTTAGATATTACAGTGAATGTACCTCCACGGAATATATTTAAATAAAAAGGCAATCGATAAATTATAATTAACAAAATCACAACTAGATATGAAATAATAAGAAATTATCTAGATTACAGTGCCCACGCTGCACAAATCCTTGCAATTACTGATAACATGAACACTGACATAATAAATAATACACGCATGAGCAGATCATTCACTAAAGTTAACACAAAATTATTTACGGACTACTGGCTGAATCTTGAGGTTTTAACGCTATTGACACACATGAAAAATATAATTGTTTTCAAAGCTTTCATTTCACTTTAACGCGTGCTTCCACTTAAAAAGAGAAAATGTAACATTTGGAAAAGTAATATTTGGATCACACAAGGGATTAGAACATCATGTAAAGAGAAAAGTATGCTTTACTTAATTTCTAAACATCATATCACCCGGTTTCCATGTTTACTTCCGAGAATACAAAAGAATTTTAAGTGAAGTATTTGTTCAGGCAAAAATAATGAAAAACAATCAAGATATTTTGAACACTAGTTACAAAACTAAAGCTATGTAAAACGTAAAAAATACGACCACATCATCTCGATACTGTATAGAGAATGTTGTTTTAAAGGATAATAAAAGAGAAGAAAGTAATCCGGAAAAAGTTGAGAATCTCTTCAACCAACACTTTTCTAGAATTGCGGCTGATCTCACGAAGGGACTAAAACCACAAAATTCAACATCTTACGCTTCCCAACAAAATTTCGACACGATGTTTATTTCTGAAACTTCTAACGAAATCCTCAGAATAATCAATAAACTAAAAAGTAAATATTCATCTGGTTAGGATGAATTTCCGGATTGTTTATTAAAAACTTGTGCACCTGCTTTTACTCATCCGTTAACTCACATTTGCAATGCTTCTTTATGCACAGGGATATTTCCAGATATTTTCAAAACAGCCAAAATTAAGCCACTTTTTAAAAAAGGGAACAGAAATTAAATTCAACATTACCGGTCAATTTCTCTTTTGTCAGTTTTCTCAAAAACATTAGAGAGGAACATTAGAAACTTATTTCCTATAAGCGAATGGAAACTTTTCACAGAAAAAACGAATTGTTTTCAGACTCATAACACGGTTTTAGAAAATTACAATCTATTGAAACCGCCATTTTTCTTCTCATAAAGATGTTGCCCCATCAATGGACCAAAATGAAGCACACATTGGAATCATTTTAGATCTTTCGAAAGCTTTTGACATTATCGGTCATAACATTCTGCTCTCAGAATTACCTTCATATGGAATTCGTGGCATTGCCTTAGACTAGATAACCTCGTACCTTAAGCATCGATCTCAAAGAGTAGAAATACCGTACTGGCACGAAAGGACATTATTTACTTATATTTCCAATTCTCTGCCAATTCAACATGGGTTGAATTGCAAGGTTCCCGCAAGGTTCGATCTTAGGTCCTAACCTCTTTCTGTTATACGTAAACGATATGGCGTCTTCTATTAAAAACGGAAGAAAGGTTCTGTTTGCCGATGACACGAATGTTCTTTGCAAAAAAGAAAAAAAAATAAATAGTACGATTTAAGAAGTTTCAAATTGTTTTAGTAATAGCAAATTAATAGTTAACGAAGGAAAAACGATTTCAAATCTGCAATCGCACACTCTATTGAAAATGAACAATATGCAATTAGCTGTTGTTAAAGTAAAAACAATTCCAGGTATTTCAATTCAATCAAACCTCAAATGGAATGCGCACATAATATTATTAAACACTAAATTAAGTTCATTATGTTACGCATTCAGGATTCTTTAAAATTCTGTTAACCTTCATGCAGCTCGTTGGGTGTATTTTGCAAATGTACATTTTCGCCTGAGATGTGGTATAATGTTCAGGGGAAGCTCATCCTGTAGTACCCAGACGTTTAGATTGCAAAAGAAAATTATTCGAACAATGAAAAAATGCCAACCAAGTGATACCTGCAAGCCTGTCTTCATTGAGCTTGGCATGTTACCATTGCCATTCCTATTTATTTACGAATCTGAAATTTTTGTCAAAACTGACACTTAACGGTGGGATCATATTTTCTTGCAATACTGATATTTATAATTTCAACACACGTCGCAGTAATCACATTCATCCAGTGTGTGTCAATGGCTCACTACCAGAAATTCACATACAATGCATGTACGTTACTTTACAACACACTGCCAGATGACATTAAACAATTAAAGTCGGCACACAAATTTAAGTTAAAAGTAAAATATTTTCTGCTGCATGACTGTTTTTACTCAATTAGAGACTATACTGAACGTCAAAAAGAAAAATAATATCTATACTAACAAAACAATGATACAAAATGCATTGATTTACATTTGTATACAATAATTTTGATGTGCCTGTAACAAGTAATGTACTTCAGCTTCCGGGTCAATGACCCCCATATCGATCAGGTTTTTGTCCAGTTTCCCCTGATCCATTGAACAAATACAGAGATGGCCTCTTGTTTTGCTCTGGACATAAATGTAGCTTCGCACAGTTCTTCCCCACCTGACCTCGCTCCTTGTCACTTTTTCTTGTTCCCCAAACTCAAAATACCCTTGGAAGGAAAAGATTTGAGACGACTCCCGAGATTAAGGGGATTGCGACGAAGGAACTGAGGGACATTACAAAAGAAGCGTCTCAAGACTGTTTCAACCAGTGGAAATACCGTTGATATACGCGTGTGCGTGGGAGTGGAGAGTACTTTAAAGGGGATCCGGACCTTTAACTTGTAACTAAAGTAGTTTTTACTTTCCCGTATCAGTACGTATATACGGAATAATATACGTAGTATAGGAAAATTATGTAATGCAGCGGAAAATCGATTTCGAGATTTCAACGGAAAAACACTTATTCTCGGGCCCTGGTAATAAAAAGTGAATAAATCATTATCCATAAATTGCTTCCCCTAACCCGTTGTGTAATCAGAATCCATCTCCAGGGTCCTTGATACCGAAAAATGGATAAATGGCAAAACGTCTGCCCGACAGTCCGACTGTCCGTCCATCCGACCGCCTGTCTGTAAACAAAGCTAGAGACTCGACCATGAGAAGGATTTTCACCAAAATTGATATTCATCAATCGACTGGCTGATGTCGCGGACCATTGAATTTGAAACAGATTTTTTAATTTTTTTTTTTCGGAGGGGGGAGTGAGTTACTCTATTGAAGCACCAGGGATATTTTCAAAACAATTGTACCAAAGAATAAAGGCGAAAAAGGAGATGAAAAGTGTCCTCAAATCAAATTGATAATCACGACTCATAAGAAAAATATTTTAAAAAAACCGCGTATTTCCAAAAAATCATCATCTGAGGGCAATCTGTTGCAGAGATACGAGACGTGTTTTTCTCGTTTCATTTTTTTCTCAGCTTCTTACATGCACCAGGCTGAAAAAAGTGCAGAGACGGGGGAAAATAGTTGAATTTAATGGTCTTTTGTCAACCAATTTTGGCACAAAATTCAAATAAAAAAGAAATAAGTTTTTGGAATTAATTTTCGAATTGACAACGTTGGAGATCGCATCAGTTTCTTTCTTTCTAAAATGCCATAATATTCTATAACGTATACTTTTTCACAATATGAACAATAGTAAAAAACTTAAAACCTTTTATCAGTTTAAAAATTTGAAATTCGCGCCAAAATGTGATTGGAAAATTTTTTCCCAAGAATGTTTCAACAATTTATATTAAAAGTATTGAAAAGTCTTACCAACCAGACTGTTCTTTAAAGATATGTAAATCTGTTCTTTAAAAATAGATCATGAAATAAGGTCAAGTACAATTTGCCAAAAATATGAGTAGTTTTCGTGTACTTATGCGTGAAATAAAGACAATTTAAATTTTTTTGGAACCATTTTGTTCATTTAATTTTCTCGTATAGATGGTAAAAAAATGGTGCTGGTCTCATTTCCAGCGAACTCTATATTTTCAAATTTAGTATTTCTCAAATAGTTTTCATCCGAGACTGTGTCTAAAGTGCATTTAGTTAGGGCGTTTTCTTCATTCAAAAGCAACGAAAAGTTAGTGGTACAAAAATGGCACAGACTTTTTCATAATATTATTTAAACTGTGTATGTAAATATATCTACACACACATGCACGCGTTTGCGCACACCTACCCAAGTACACAAACACACGCACGCACACGCGACAACACACGCACGGACACTCGCGCGCGCGCAAACACACACACGCACATACATGCGCGCATACACACACTTGTGACAACATGCGCACCCACACTCACGCGCGCGCGCGCGCGCACACACACACACACACACACAGAAACTAGCCACATATACACACACGCATACATACGCGTGCTCGCACATACATACATAAATATAAATAGACATTCCATACTTCATTCAAGATGTAAAATTGATATTTAATTCTTGCTTGACTTTCATTATGTGTTTGTAAGAAAGATAGAAGTTCAAATAAATTATCTCTCTTTGCACTCTATGAATTCACTTTATTTCATTCCTGTTCTCTAATATATTGCTTGAGTGTTTCAGGAATCTGCCTGATACTGACGTGTTTTCAAAGTCTGATCCAATGTGTGTAACTTATCTTAAGACTCAAGATTCACAATGGCAAGAAATTAGTCGCACAGAAACAATTTGGAACAATTTAAACCCTGATTTTGCTAAAAAGGTATAGTAAGGTTTATAAAAATTGAGAATTTTCAACAAATAGGTAAAGTACGGTAGTTGTGTTGACATGTTGCAGTATTTAGTGCTTAGGATACAACTCCATATAAACCTACATTTCCATTTCCAGACACATTTAATATATAGATTTGAAGAGCAACAATCACTCAAATTTGTTGTGTATGATATAGATTCTGAAAGTCATAATCTACAAAAACATGACTTCTTGGGATACAGTTCATGTACATTAGGTCAGGTAAGAGAGGAAAACTATATAAATAATTTATTCTCATAACATATGATTTTCTGTCCAAAAAATATACCTTATAAGTAGAAATGTTCGTGGTTCTTTTTATAAAACAGGTAAGTATTATGCCACTTCCAATTATATCCATCACACTCCGTCATTTTGAGAGTATTAATAAACCAAGCTCAATTTAAATAACAGATAGACATAGGTGTTATATTTTTTCAAACATTTTTTGGATAAGAAACACATTAAGTGAATAAATAACTCCCATATTAAATTTCAGTAACAGAGTCACTGATTTGATTTTTTTGTTGTTGTCAAAGAATATTAAAAATATTATGTGACAGACATATGGGGGGGGGGGTACAATCTGCGCTCCTCTTCTCGAGCTCCAGAATCTTTCTTTTTACGAAAAATAGAAAAATGATAAATAAAAGTTTCGACAAAGTGGAGTTAAGCAACATTTGGAAACTATAAATTTTCGCCCCTGTGTTATAAAAGCATTGCTTTGATAACAACCTATACATTTGATTTTTTCATATTGCTAACAAAATAGTAACCTAGATCACTGGCTCTACTCATACAACAACTAGAAAAATTCATGATTCATTGGTTAAAATGGTTATGAAATACTTATTACTTATGGATTATTTGTAGCGGGCTGTCACATAACGAATATGATTCATGCGTTAAAATTACAGACCTGTATTGCTTGAAAACAGATGCCCCAAGTCAGTTTTGACAACAACCACTGATTTCTAAAGAAGTTGGCAAGGCAAAGTAGGATTGTAAGCTAATTAATGAGAGATTTTCAAGAATTCTGTGGATGATTTATTCTTATTATGCATACAATTTTGTTCTGTAATTTTTAAGTCTGGATGTGGCATTGATGGATGTGATGTGTTTTCCCAAAATATTAAGTGTGAATGTGCCTTTGCAAATATACACACTGAGGTATATAAAGGCTGACTGAGTTACAGAGAATTCGGAATTAATAATGTAGTGAATTTAATTGTTTAAATTAGAATGTTACAAACACTGTTATCAACTAATAGAAAAAATAATGACGCCAAGGAATTATTTGGTATTGGCATTAAGCGACCATCCATAAATTACATAATGCAAATGTGCGACATTTTGAATTCTCCCTCTCCCCTCTGTAAGGCACATTTGAAGTCCCCTTAATAACCACATAATGCTTGCACCCCCACCCATCACCACCATTTAAAAAAAGTAAAAATAAATTACATAATAATGACAATAATTTGCATTACTTTTATGTTGTACATTAAAATTAATTATAATTAAAGTGAGAATTAATTGGCAATGCTGACAGCATCAAACAATAAGATTGGAGGACAATCTCTATGTGAAGGAACAATGGAAGGAAGTATGGGTGAGAAAATTTCTGAATAGTGTACATGTCCTGAAGGATGCAAGGGAATGTACTGCATCAATTTATTTTTATTCTGGAATATACTATTGATCAGTTTTGAATATTTTCTTAATAATCTAAGATTCAATCAATATACCTTTAATGGAAATATATTTTTAATTATTATAAACCTATACATGTCATTTTTTTAAATTTTATTATTTTTAATTTATATTTTTAATTTAATTTGTTAATATTTTAATGTTTTAGTGTACGAAAGTAAAAAACAATTATTTCAGCAAATGTTGAAGAATAAAAAAGACTATCATTGTAACTTAGCACAAAAGGAACACCATCCTATCCCCATGTAACACAGTGTAATGTTTTCTCAAAGTCTTCCCCACCCCCTCTTACATAATTTATGGATGTGCCCTCTAAGTACCGTTAAAACTAATTTAATGACTCCTCTGAAATGACTCTTTTAAAAAGAAGACTCTGAAATTTAAATAAAATAAAATAAAATAACCAAACTAACACTAATGGAATTAAAATTTAACAAATCTCTCAAGTGAATGAATATCACGTGATATTTTGTTCAGCTAGTGGCAGCTGGGAAACTTGCATTACCATTGAGAGGCCTAGAGAGTAACCAAGGAACAATTATTGTTTGCATTGAAGAACTATCAAAATGCAGAGATGAAGTCATTCTGCAATTTTCAGGACACAGAATTGAACGAATGAGCTGGTTTGGATTGTAAGCATAAATTTTGATTATTTCTCATAGTTTTGCTGTTCTTCAGTATTTAATACACAGACTTTCATCAATTACATTTACATACTCCCAACAAATTTTTAATAATTACTTTTGCATGTGTTTTCAGTATTATATAGCGTTAAAGTACAATATCTGTTTAATCTGTGAAATGAAGAGATCATATTTTTGATTTCAAAATTCCGAGGATAATCTTGTATTTATTAACAATTACATGCATTTTTTTTAAGAACTGACCCATTTCTTGAGATATACAAAATTAATGATGATGGAGAGTACCATTTGGTTCATCGAACTGAAGTAATAAAATGGTCTCTGAATCCAACATGGAAACCATTTACCATTGCAATAAGGTCATTGTGTGGTCATGATCCACAACGATCTTTGAAAATAATGTGCTATCATTGGAACATGAATGGTGGTCATCAATTCATTGGTGAATTTTTTACTACATTTAAAACCTTAAGTCTTGGACCATGTGATGATACAATATTTTTCTGCTTAAATTCACAGAAAATGGTGAGTAAACTTTACCTTAATCTTATATACTATACTATCCTATACTATCTAGTATTAACACTATACTATCCTTTATGCATCTGAACCATCTTTTCAATTCGCTTCCATTATCTATTCTCTCAGCTTCTACCATTCAGTAACTTGATATTTTTCTGATCGTACACATTCTGATATAATTTTTCTATGGGTTGTCCACCCTCTGCCACAACCACAATTTTCCTTCACCATGTTATGGAGCATTCTTTTTACTTTCATCCTCTGTGTATGTACCAATCTACGAAATTTCACAAATCTTGCATTTTTAAATGTTACCTACAGGCCCTATACTGTCATTATACCATAACCTCCATTTTTGTCCTTCCTATGCTATTCCATATAATCTTCTTAACATTTTCCACGTACATCGGTATATACGTTTTGAGATAATTGATCAGTATGGTATATGAATACATTTGAAGTAATTTCTGTTCATAGAAAAACATTTCTTCTTTTACAACTTTTAATGGTCAACGGTAAATCACATGAATAATAGTTCAAAAAAATAAGTTCAAATGTTCCAAATAACTGAAATACACTTCATAATATAGAAATTAAAATGAAACATAAAAAAAATGTTTAAAAAATGATTTACCAATTTGTATTTTCAGTATGGGGACAGTCGACGTAAACATTCTGGAGAAATACATCTTACAAAATATGAATATAAGCGAGTATATTCTTTTCTTGATTACATTAAAGGAGGTATGCAGATACACTGCACTATAGCTATAGATTTCACAAGTAAGTTGCTTTCAAATACACCTTAGATTTTAAATGATAAAAAAATTTCACAAATGTCAAAAGTCATAATATTACTAATACTATCACCTCCTATCTGGAATATTAGTAATCCCATTATCTGTAATATTTATTTTTTAATTACTTAAGCAGCACCATATAACTGTGAAATTTATAATTAAAATAACAATTATTTTAAAATAAAAGTTTGCTTCTTTGATTTTGAAATTGTCTAAGATTTTGATAGATTTCTTTCAGGTTAAATAATACCATTTTAAGAGAACATTCTTTCCTACAGGTTCAAATGGACGACCTAATTCACCACAGTCTCTTCATTATTGTTCCCCATCACCTAATGAATATGAACAAGCATTGACAGCAGTAGGGGAAATCATTCAAGATTATGACACTGACAAAATGTTTCCTGTCCTTGGCTTTGGTGCTCGTCTTCCTCCTGATGGTCATACTTCTCATGACTTTTTTGTGAACATGAAACCTAGTAATCCTTATTGTGTGGGTATACCAGGTACACAAATCATTAAACATTGAAATTTCTACTAACTTAGTCTCTGATCCAAAATTTGTGATTTTGAAAAACTTTACACAAATTAGTAGTATTTGTGATTTTACCTCTTCCTGCTGTGTTTGCTTAGAAGTATTTTGAAATGTGATGATTTGTAGATGATTTGTGTTCTGTTTTAAGTTTTACAGGTAGTTACTACTCATAATTGTTATGTTTTTATTATTTTTCTTTCTAAAGAAAAGAACTTAACATCTGGCAAGCTTATTTGATGTAGTATTTACAACACAAAAAGATAAATGGCTTGAAACAGTAAGTCAAATTTGACATGAGTGGATTTGATATAGATTGTTTCAAATAATATATAGACATACGTATATTCATTATAGGTAATCTGAAACATTATTATAACAATAGGTTAATCATTTTATGTAACAAGGTTGCATGTTTTTAGTCCTACTAGTTGTTTAGAATTTGAATATTAATAAACAAACTGTCTTCCAAGGTGTTTTGGAGGCATACAAATCCTGCATACGTAAAATTGAACTCTATGGACCTACCCTTTTCAGTCCAATAATAAATCATGTAGCAAAATTTGCTCAAGCATATCAAGATGGATCTCATTACTTTGTGCTCTTGATAATTACAGACGGAATTATCAATGATATGGCCAAAACAAAACAGGTATATTGTTTTTTACCATTTTAAAATATCAATAATTTTAAGACTAAAAATTGAGAAGAAAAGATTGGATGAATGCAATCACAAATATTGTATGCATCTTGTCAATTCTAGGCAATCATCAATGCAGCAACTCTTCCAATGTCTATTATTATAGTTGGCGTTGGAACAGCAGACTTCTCTGCAATGGATGAACTCGATGGTGATACAGTTCCTTTAGTTCACAAAGGAGTTCAAGCAGCTAGAGATATTGTTCAATTTGTACCATTTCGAAATTTTCATTGTTTTCAAAACGTCACTAAAACAAAAGCATCTTTAGCTAAAGAAGTATTAGCAGAAATTCCAGATCAAATTGTATCATTTATGAAATATCATAATATTCAACCAAAAAAGGTAGAAAATACTTCTAAAGTAACAACAGCTGTTTGATATTTTTAATTTTATCTGGCTCACTTTATTGATCAGTCATTCAGACCCTCATCAGATTAAGTCCAAAAAAAATTTGAACCACATTGTGTAATGGAAACCAACTGCTCCTATGCACAAAATTGTAAATTGTTAACCATAGTTTCTTTTTCTTATTAGAAGTGTGTAGCACTAGTTCCGCAGTTACTCTAATTTTTTTTTCCTTAGTAAAGTAGATTCAAAAATGTGGAAATTTCTAAAGAAAAATTCATTGAATATTGAAATTATGGTTACTAATGACAAACTAAATCTATAATTATGGAATGTTAAAATGAAAACCAGCAAATCTTTTCCACCTTTAAAACTGTGATAACTCTTTTATGATGGTGAGCTTATGTAAGACATGTACTAATGTATTTTTAATTGATCCATGAGGTATATTAAAATAAGAGAAAAGATTGGAATAAATATGAAAGCTGATGTGTGGTACTACCAACATTTCTTTTATGTCTCAAAACAGAAGTGTTTATCTCATTGAAACAAAGTACCAAATATAAAATACATACAAACGGTATAGACAAGATTATGTTTACAATTCTTCAAATATACCTTAAATATTTACAAGATTGTATACTTTTGTTCTTTTGGTTTAAATAAAATATGTTTCCCTTAACATCAATTCAAAATATTCTGTAAGAATTTGCTTTCAGCAGTTAAGATCATTCTTTCATCATCTACTTTTAATCACAAAATAAATTTAGAGATGCCTTGGCTGGCACAATAAACAAAATATAATTTCATAATTTACTTCAAATAGCATAGTTATTCAGAGGAAAACTCCAAGCTCTAGTTTTTGAGAGAAATTTCATGGGTCTATATTTCTAGTTTAGGGAATTGATTTTATATTGTTTTTGTCATTTGTCTGAAATAAACTTGTATCTTTTTATTTGCAACAAGAGAGAAAAAAGTTAGTTTTCAAGAGCAATTGATACCTCAAAGATATTTTCAAACTTGTTTAAATATGGCTTCAAATCTTCATTGAGGTTTTGAATACAGTAAGGACACCCACTGATTTTTTTTTAACATTAAAAATGGTAGAAAATGAATGTGACAAATGGGGGAGAACTACAATCATTGCGCATTCTTAATCCCATCACATTCTTAGTCGAATTATGAATACAATTTCCAAACCATTTTTGGCAACATTTCATAATCAAGAAATATTTTTCTGGTGTAATACAAAGTATTTGTATTTCCAAATGAACTATACATTTTATTAGATAGTACTGCTGAGGAAATAACTAAACCATCCACTCCTGCATCTAGAAACTAGTGGTGTTACAGAATGGCAGTTACTTTTTTGTACTATTTAGTTACCTAATTCTTTTAGACTGGACCAGCTGATTGGTTCTCCAGCACCCTCATCCCAGTTGGTACCTTTTGAAATCTAACTGACATTTTTTTCACATTTTCTTAATTTTTCACTACCCTAATATGTAGTAGAATTGAAATAGGACTTATAATAAGGAAAAATAATGAGTGAAGCCTCCTTTATCTCCTCAGAAAATGTCATTTGACTCATTCTGAAAGTGCACTATTTGAGCTCATTTTTCAAAAACGTTAAAGAGTTTTCGAGAAAGATCAGAAAACATTTTAAGTGCTTGTACTCACAAATTCAATAATGTATACACAATGCCTTTAAATTAAATATTAACCGCATGCATATGCATGGAGGAGGGGGGGGGAGACAGGTGGTTTCGTAGGTGTCCCGGTAAGGGTCGCCAACCAACAGAAGCTTTCGGAGCAAACTCGGACGACGTTTTTGCTGTGACATCTTTTTATGTTTCTTTTTTTAATATTTAGAGGGTACAATAATATTAGTTGTTGAAGGTAATGTTTCCGAAGGTATGTAAGATGACACCTGGCCCTCAGCGTTAAGCATTAGAGGAGTAGCATGGTCCGTTTGGATGTTCAGTATCTTGGGCTGATTTAGCTCACTACACAATTTTCCGTTACATCTCCAAGGACTTTACTTCTAGACTGTCCGGGTGACGCCGCGTCGTTGGCAGAGAGGCAGACGTTTCGCCTGTCATGTCGCAGGCTTCTTCAGGGTAGTGAAGAAGCCTGCAATATGACAGGTGAAACGACGGCCTCTCAGCCAACAACCCGGCGTCCCCCGGACAGCCAAGAAGTCATGAACTCGAGCCGCGGAAGCCTACGTGTACATCTCCAAGGAGTTTTACTTGGTATCTCCTTCTTGCTTCCGGAAACGAAACTTTTCCAGTCACTCCAATGTTTTGGATTTCCCTCTCCTTGATGGACACTGGGCACTGGCTCAAATTTGCCGCATTATCACCCTTGCAGTTAACGCAAAGGGGTGGTGAGGATCAAGGAGTTTTATCGGAAGGATTTAAGGAGGATTTCAGTTCCTCTCCATTGTTCCCACTCACCTGGGAATCCAACAAGGGGAGACTCCATTGAAGTACCAGGGATGCTAGGGTATATGGGAGAGAGTGGAATGGCTTCCTCCCGCAGCACACTCGCACGGGCTCCCACTCTAGAGTTCAGTCGGGGACATAGTCCGAGCTGATGGATCGGGAGGGGGTTAGCTCCCGTCCGCCCAATAGAACTGACTGAGGCCAAAGGTAGTGCACGCAAAACGTACCTAAACGCAGTCACCAGAGATGTGCACAACGAACAGACTTAGACAATTGAATTAAATTGAATCGAATTGAATTAAATTACTGCCTCATTTTACGTGGCGAGACTCGGGCAATCAGGCCCGCTCTTCCGTCTGACCACGCAAATTTCGCTACACTCCTTTCACCAACTAGTGGAGAAAGGAGGTATTTCTTGGGGGAGAAACAGGCGATTTGAGTTTTGCTCAGAGGCGTCATATAGGCCTGAGGATCTTTTACATGCAAGTAAATCTACTAACATGGGACAGCCGGCTTTACTTCGCTTCCGAAGGCAGGCGTACGAAGGATTTTCTTCGCCCTTAAAGGTCCACGGCTTCGATCGGATTTGAACCCGCGAACTTGGGTACGCTAACCATTACACCATCGCCGCCGCAACATCACAATACACACAATCTAACCAAGCGTCAAGGCGGCTTAAGGCAAGCACGCCCAGACTCCTTTACCCCATGTCACTCATTCTCTTCTACACGAGTCACCACATGTGTGGGCGTACAGGGAAGGCTAGTGAGGAAGAAAAAAATGGTTAATAAAGGAAGTAGGTGACGTATGAAATGGAAATGAAGAGGATGAAAGATGGGGAGAGGAACACACGAGAGCTTTCTCTGCATCTCTTGTGACATGGGCCTGCCCACCTCGAAGGGGGCGAGTACAGAAGTAAGATGCCAGTACTGTAATAAGTATTTAATTTCAATGTTCAATAAAATACGTTCCATAGAATACTGTCAAACACGTATATTTATATGATATTCATAACGTTCATTTAACCCGTCAGAAATCAAAAGAATTGTTTAAGATATTAAAAATAATACTACCATATTATTTTAAAACAATGTTCCTCTATCCCTGGAACCAGGAATAAACATGTGAAGAGTTATAATGCTACAAAATGAATGAAGAAAATATTTATTAACTTTCCAATTTATTTCAGTTAATCAAACAAAAAATTCCTTTGTGTGATTTCGGTGGAAAAAAGAAAATTTGCGAGAGGAGCCTCTCTCTCGAATCGGTAACTATCAAAATCCTGTGTTTTTGCTTTACTGAACTATCCTCCTGCCCTACATGAACAGCACATTTATCGTCTTCTTATCTCTAAAGTCGGCCATGCGATTTCTGGAGGAGATACAAGGTATATTACGCAGCAGTAAGCAGAAGATGTGCGTACTGTTCAGACACTTGAATTCAAACTGATGTTTTGTGACTGAAAAGGTGGAGTTTCTGCTCAGTGAAACAGTTGAGATGAAAAGTGCAGAAAGGAAAAACGACGCCACGACAGTTCGAGTTAACCACGTGTGCGCCATAATCGTGCAGTTATAGACGAACACTAAGAGTAGAACGAGTGATCGTGACTGTGTGTGTGAGGGGGTCAAGGCTTTTTACATTTGTGTTTCGTTTAGAGCTCTATAGAGGTTATGAGTAACATCAGTGCAGTGATAGTTTGTATCACGAGAATAGCAGCACTTTCTCATGATACCGTTAGCCGTTATTATTATAAATAATGCGGCCGTTCAAAATGTGCTATCGCAACGCTATCTTCAGAGCGTGCAAAGAAACATTAAGATACAAATATCGAGAGTTTATCACAAAAAATAATCGTGGAATCTTAGAATCCTTGAAACGCTTAACTCTCCCAGATAAGCTAAAACTCTTTCAAATAAAGCACTCGGTAGAAGGGTTACCACATCTTCGGGTCTCATACATAAGGTCCAAATTTGGGGTTACTCTGTTCGTTAAGTACTGTCCGGGAACCAGATCCTTGAATAAATTTAATTTGTAATTTCTTTTTCAAAATATATATTTTGCCCATCAAAATAAATGTCAATTACTATTGAATTTGGTACCAGTTAAAATAAAAATCCGCTCAAATAATATTTATTTTGAAATTCTTTGTTGTTTAATAACTGCGTGTCTCTCAAAAATAGCGTAATATGATTTCACTGAAAAAACTTTATAATTTTGTTTATCTTTATTGAGAAAAAAGTCTGGTCAGTTACTAACGTTAATCAGATACGGAATTGGTTGAAATAGGCAATATACAAAATTAAAAATACAATCATGAATGCCAGTTTTCGGCATATACTAAAATGTTGTTTTTGATTTGAAGTTCAATGATTGGTTTTTAGTATGCATGTTATGTACAGTATTTATATAAGAACGATGGTTATATTTTCTATAATGCTCCGACCAACAGTATGTGATGATTTATGTGTAACATGTGACTGCTATTACACTGTTGCATACTGTAACAGTAAAGTATTGAAACCGCCTCTCACAGACACAACAAATGTAGACACATTGTATATTCGATATTCCAATGTAACTTCAGTGTTCAATGTAACGTTACACCTACCTTCTTTACGCGAACTTCACGTAGTTGACAGTTTACTGGCAAGCGCGAATGAAGATGCATTAAAGCTCCTTCTTAAACTAATAACTCTTGAAATCACAAGAGCTGAAATCAATGATTTGCGACCAACAATATTTTTTGGTAACACTATGCTACAATACATTGATTTATCCAGTAACAAGATCAGCGAACTGCACAGTGACGTATTCTCAAAACTACCAAATTTAACTGTTTTAAAACTCAATAAGAACAAACTGCATACAATTTATGAAAGTACTTTTATCTCTAATTCAAAGCTCGAAACATTAGACATTGCGTCAAACCATCTTCTCAGTTTAAAACCTGGAGTCTTCAACATTAGTGATGTCACAGACTTTACTTCCAACAAGACCGTGTCTCTAAATATTTCAAACAACGAGCTGATGACCGCAGAACCTAACACATTTGCTCTTTGTACTCATCTCACAGTACTAGACTTGTCGCACAACCAAATCTCACAGTTGTATTCTGATGTCTTCGTCGGCCTTTCTTCTCTTCGAGAGTTACTATTGAATTCAAATTCGCTCAGCGAAAATATTCCTGGAGTTTATTTTCGATTAACGTCATTGCAGATACTTGATCTTCGTGAAAAT